CAGCACAAAGATGCGCACCCGCTGCTCTCGGGTGGTCGCATCGTCATCAAGAGCCGCTGCCAGCGTCGAGCGGCGAATCCTTCTAGCACTAAACTGAGTCGTCTCGACCTTAGCTCGGGCCCGAACAGCAATCGGCCCCAGTAGTTCCTCGACCTCTGGAGAGAATACGTCGATACCGCCGTCGAATGGCAGCGGCACAGAAGAGAACTCCAGTCCTGTGATAAGACTGAAATCTGTAGGAGTAACCATCATCTCACCCCATGGAAAATGAAATGTGTTGGTGGTGTCCCAAAAGAACTCCACCAGAGCGCGTACTACGTGGTGACCCCCGCTGGAGGCGACCATAGCCTCGGAGGTCTCAAACAGGGCAACCAACCCGCAAGACTCCCATAGGAGTCTCGTCTCTTGATCTCTGGCGATATGCATCCTATACAAATCGCCGAGACCATCGCAGCCAGAGCCGTGATGTCGCGTCCTTCCCAGCTCGGTTCCCCGTCTCACCCTCTCAGAAATGTGGTGGTCAGGGGCAAAGAACAAGGTCTGCTCATCCCACTCTGGGAACTGACCAAGCGAAGTGGACGGTGTAGTGTCGTCCTCCACGGGCTCATGCTCCCGTCTAGTGTTTCGGGACCGTGAACCAGAGCCTCGTTGTCTAGCCATGCTACATTGTGCAGAATCATCATAAATCAAGGTTCTATAGTATTTAAAGGTTTGCCTAGTCGCATGATACTATGTTTGCAAAAACAGAGTACATAGTACTAAAACAGAGCACAAATTCGAATTGAGCATGATAAGCATTTTTCAAGCAATCAAACAATTTCCTGCAACACTATAGTTATTATTGTGACAAATTGAACAAGAATTGCTAGCAAAAACATCAAGAACGAGCCACATTGTTTTTCACGACCTTAGGAGGTCCAACAATGGCGGATTGCTCATTTCTTCGCCAAATTGAGTCAAATAAGTCTCAAATTACTCCTAAGGCAATATACAAACATAAACAAGCAATTTCATGGCATAAAACTTGATAAACAAAGCAAATTGAGCATTATAAGTTTTGAATTTTCATGAAATTCGTGAATGAACATGCCAATAATTCATAAAAACCGGTGTGAGTTGGAAGGAAAATTACATAGATCGGGAATATGGATGAAAAGAGCTTGGATTTGCAACAAATTTGAGAAAATTTGGTTGAGAAACGAATGAGCAACGATCAATTGAAGTTTCGACTTCTTTCGAGCAGCGTTCGCAACAAACCAGAGCACGAAATAAACTAAAAAACGGGAATTTAAAGTGATTCCCATGCTGGCGCCAGTCCCTAGGCATTGGCGTCACATTCTGTGCTTGGCGCCAGACGCCAATTTCAGCGCATGGCGCTAATGCCACATGTTTGGCGCTGATCGATTTTCAGCGACGCCAAAGCAGCCAGCCATCTTTTGGGGTAGTGCTAGCCTTCTGCAATATATTTTGGGTTCCTTGGTACGCCAGTTAGCCCCTCTGAGCAATTTGACATGATTAGGTAATCGGCTTGATTACATGAAGTGATCGACCTGATGAAAAGATCGTCTCACTAAGCTTAAAGCGCCTAAGCATTGGCTCATTAGCAAAAGGCACCGACATACAGGTTCATTAGCAAAAGGCACCGACATACAGGTTCATTAGAAAAAAAGGGCACCGACATATAGGTTCAAGAGCAAAGAGCGTCGACGTACAGGCATAGCAAAAAGCAAAGTTCAGGCGAACTTTTAAAGATCGACGGGCGTGGATCTTCGGTATTTTCCTTTGGGAGATTATCGCATCAAATGAGGATGACTTCAAGAGAAGATGTCTTCGACATCATTCCCTAGCTTGCGGAAAGTTGTCACAAACAACTGAAGGTAATTTCGGGCGAAATTGTCTTCGGTCATAGTTCCTGAGGCATGGAACGTGATCATAATGCGGATGAGAATTATTTCAAGAGAAATAATTTTCAATGGTATTCCCTTAGACGTGGAATATTATCACGGCGGAGAGGATAGTTTCAGGCGAAGCAATCTTCTAATTTGGAAGCAGTTACAAGGCGTAGCGGTTTTCAAGCGGGATGACATTCTCTAGCTTGCAGGAGGTCATCAAAGCAATCGGTTACTTTCAGAGACGTGTGCTCGACGGTGCAAGATACGCGTTTCTTAACTCTTCTATCTGTTTAATTAATGCTAGTTTTGCAGGTATCGGCGTTACAAGATTGATTTAGGATCGCAGAACGTTCTGAATCATTCTCCGTCCCTGTCGATACTTTGACTTTCGTTTTCCGAAACTTGCGTTTCTCTAAACTCAGTCAAAGTGGGAGCTTCTGTAGACACCCATTTGTGTCTCCCCAAAACAAAACCCGGTGATGAGTGCCTTTCATGTTGAATCATAATCGAATGAAACGAAAGTGTGGAAATGTCTAGTGTTGCGGAAAGTTTTATTTCTTTTCTTTTCTCTTCTCTCTGTTTTTGAAAACTTTATTTTAAGGAAAACAACCAATCCAGTTTGGTTGGTCCATGATATGGGTCCAATAGTGGTGTAGTTGAATGGGGTTTGCAAAGACCTTTGCAACGATATATTATAAGCCCAATTCTGATGAGTATTGAGGAATTTATGGCCAATTTACTAAACTGGGCCCGGTTTGAGTTTTAAGTACGGCCCAATGATCTAGGGGAGGGCCTAATATGATTTATCATTCCTAATGTAATTAGGAATGGTTTTGGTCTTCTAGAACATTCTAGAAGGTTTTTATCATTCTTAATTCAATTAGGATTCTTTAGAGTTTTAATTAGATCAAATAGCATTTTCAACTGAAATTATATTATTTTATCTTCCAGTACGGTAAAATTATCAGATTTTCGAAAACGTGTTAAAAGTCGGTTTGGCGTCCAACCCCAGGCCTTGGCGCCTGGAACCAGGATTGGCGCCAGACGCCAGCCATTGGCGCCTGGCGCTAGCCACTGGTCCTGGCGCCAATGAGCCAGGGCTGGCGCCAAGTTGTTTTTGCGATCTTCAGACTCTGTTTTGATAAATTATCTTTTTTGGCTGATTTTCTCTATAAATATCGTATCAAAAACTCTGTTTAAGAGGACGGATTATCATCTATCATTCACCACTTCTTTTATTCTTAAGTTTTAATAAAATTCGTTTTCGTTCATTCATCTACAATCTTCAATTGTCAACAAATTAGTTTATGAATCATTAATCTTTCGTTCATTCTTTCAAAACTTTATTCTCAAACACAAAATTCCGCATTCACAAGAACTTGATACACCTAGCCATATTCGAAGTTGCCTTCGCCCTAGACGTGAAAGGTTTTAATTTCTGAGGGTTTGGTCCCAAATCTCTCTTTCAATTATTTAATTTAATTGTTTTGGTTTATTATTTTCCTTGAAGTTACTAACGTGTGTATTTTGTAATTAGAAAGAGGTACGAGGCATCCAAGTAAGTACTTTATTGATTTAATTGATTTTATTGATGTAGACATCATGTTTATATTGTTATTATGATATTCCTAGTATCATGTCTAGGGTGTTTTTAATATTAAGCATGATTAAGAATATGATGCTTCCTATGTTCTTTCTAATATTTATGATTATGATTGATGATTATTATTCATTATGTTGCTTGATATGCATATTATTATTATTTATTGCTTGATCATCTTTATTGCAGGTTAAAGGGAATTGGTATTTGCAATCACGCTTAATAAGATAATTAATAATCTTGTTAGGTTAATTGTGATTATAATTCAAGTGATCGCCAATAATAGATTTGTATGTGCATTAATATTCAACCAACATAGATAAACAGGTTTAGGGTTAATCCTATTGATTGTATGTTAATTAGAAAGCGCACATGAATACGAGCAGAATAAAGTAGAGGCCTATTATTAGGGCAGGTTCAATCTCTTTTAGGTTGGATTTGTACCATCATCCCCGGACCCTTATTTGGTTCATGACCTTATGGAGTTGACGATCTCTTGGATCGTTAAGGGGTGTAACCTTCACCTCGTGAACGGTTTACAAGTTCCTTAAAAACTTGTTGGCGACTCTTTTGCTCTACCTTCTTCCCTTTTGGACGCCACCGTACTTTAGTGTATGATCACAGTGGGATTCAAGCTAGTGGGATTTTAAAGGCTTGAAAATATTCCCTACAACTGTGTACTGAATAATAATGAGCATGTTTCATAATTATATTGATTTTGTTCTATATCGGGACTTCGGGAGTAAGAGTTAATGTTTGGACATGTGCTGTCTAACTGGAGAAACAAAGAATTATCTTGTTTTTGGTTAGCGAGACCCAATATAGGGTTAATGCTAAATTGGAGCAATGGAAGAGTGATTTTTTTTGGTACATTAGGAGTCCAAGGGTTGAATCTAGAGAGGAATGGATAATCTGTCAACATTTGGAGTCAGAGGGTTGAGTCTGTATGGATTGCAATGCTGAGGTTTATGTTACACTTGAGCAATGAAGGCAATTGTTAGTTTGTTACAGTGTATAGGGGGGTTTAGACTGAGAAGTTGAAGTAAAAGTGAGCACATGGAGTATTGTTTTGGCACTAGAAGAGGAGTCCAAAGAGGATTTAGTATAAGTTAAACCATGAAGAGTTTTCCTAAAGAGTGAAAAAATTTAACCTTTTATGTAAACTTTGGTGTTAATGTGAAATTACTATTGGATGACCACAACTGTTTTGTGAATAAAGGCGAATTGAGGACAACTATATTTGGACCACATCGGTATTTAGATGACAACACTTGGGCTACCTTGTTGGACATGACAATGAGCTACCTAGTTGGACTGACACATAAAATCAGTAACGATTGTGTCATACAATGGTGAATGTTCGAGAACCAAATGAAAGTGCAACGCTGAAAGCGGGTTCACACAAGGCGTACAACATCTAAAAAAATGCTGAAAGTACTAAGAGAACTATCCATCTTAAAAACGATGAAGTACTAAGAGAACTATCCATCTAAAAAACGCTGAAGTAATAAGAGAAATATGCTTGTAGCCAACAACGCTGAAATGGGGTTTACACAAGACATACAACATCTAAAAAACGCTGAAGTACTAAGAGAACTATCCATGCAGCCAGCAACGCTGAAAGCGGGTTTACAAAAGACGTACAACATCTAAAAAAAGGCTGAAAGTACTAAGAGAACCATTCTTGCAGCCAACAACGCTATAAGCGGTTTATAAAAGACATCTTACTAACCAAAACACTAAGAGCTCCATCTGATCCCCAAAACACAAAAGCAGTACATTACTCTGACTATTACTCGAAAGCAAATTCACCTATACCCACATTGTCCACAGATGAACAAGGTTAGTCGTGGAGCTCAAAATTCAAAAGATCCATTGTCGCTGTCATCCATGACTCGATATCCACCTTTGGTCTGCTATAACAACCCAAAAAAATATTCAATGTCAACAATAAGATCTGCTTATAAACCTACATACATACATGCATATACGTTGAAAGATCAGTTATCTACGCACCAGTATCACTGTGGCATGGTTCTAGAATGGAATTGGACATGGAAACAAAACAAATGTATTCGTTAATATCCAAAAAACGAAATTGACAAATAGAAAACATATGGGAAGAAGTTGAATTACCTGCTTCCTTCTACTTCTTCTTGTATTTGGTGCCTTATAACCTGTTTCAGACAGGGGTTTGTTTCTGGTATCCTTTGGTCTTCCACGCTTCCTTTTACGTGCTATGGGATCAAGCACCGGCTGAGACGGCTGCGGTGGGATCACATCATCCCAGTCAAGGCATTCACCACTGCTACCATTCCCATCTTCGCCCCCTTCTTGGGTAACGTCCACATCTGGCCCCCTTATTGTTTCAGATGGGGGTTTGTTTCTGGAACCCTTTGGTCTTCCACATTGTCTTTTACGTGCTGTGGGATCAACTTCAAGCACCGGCTGAGACGGCTGCTGTGGGATCACATCATCCCAGTCAAGGCATTGACCAGTGTTACCATTCCCATTCGCCCCCTTCTTGGGTAACGTCCACATCCGACCCCCTTATTGCTTCAGATGGGGATTTGTTTCTGGAACCCTTTGGTCTTCCACGCTGTCTTTTACGTGCTGTGGGATCAACTTCAAGCACCGACTGAGACGACTGTTATGGGATCACATCATCCCAGTCAAGGCATTCACCAGTGTTACCATTCCCACCTTCGCCCCCTTCTTGGGTAACGTCCACATCCGACCCCCTTATTGTTTCAAACGGGGGTTTGTTTCTGGAACACTTTGGTCTTCCCCACTTTCTTTTACGTGTTGTGGGATCAAGCACCGGCTGAGACGGCTGCTGTGGGATCACATCATCCCAGTCAAGGCATTCACCACTGCTACCATTCCCACCTTCGCCCCCTTCTTGGGTAACGTCCACATCCGGCTGGCTACCATTGTGTGGTTTAGACACCGACCTTGGAGCTACAGTGTGACTCATAGATCCTATTTCAGATACGGGGTATTCGACACTTGGGAGAGGAACACAATCATGTGTTTTGTTGTACTTCTTACGGTGTACCTTCACGACCTCACTTAGCTTGAACAGAGATGCAAGTACCATGTCCACGGTATTTTCATCAACGACAGATGCTTCGTCACACAGTGGCTCAAAAGCAGTCATAATTTTATTATACCTTCTCACCTCTGGGTTTTTGTCGGGTCATGATAAGCAACCTTCACCCTTGTATGCTTCCTAACTATGTCTTTCCTCCACCGATCTAAAATATATTTTTGTGGTATCTCAGATACCCCATTTTGGTCCATAATTTTTATAGAGTGCTTCCATAATATGCCATGGGTTTCAAACTTACGACATTCACACGACACCTCTTTCGTCGCTGTGTTAAACCTGACGCGGTACCAACGTCTTCTATCGATAATAACCTCTTCGCTTAGCCCTTCGGGAACAATCCACACCCTATCTTCGAGTACATACTCTTTGGTATGATCATGAACAACCCTTTCACTCATACCATGACAATACATCATCCTAGCCAACTCCTTCTGAACCTCTTGGAATTTACGATCAGTGTACAACCTTTAAAATATTTTCTCAACCTTGAAACCGCTTATTAGGCGGCGAACGTACTTCATACATCTGGCATCAGCTGCACTCTCATCTTTGACCCTTTTCCCCATTTCCATAGTATACTTTAGTGGAAACTCATGCAGTCTTGTTTTGCGGTTGACAAATTTGTCAAAAAAGCTATTTATGCTCTCAACCCTTTGGGTTGTTTTCATTCCTGCCAGAAATACTCTTTCATGAATGCAGGTACCCACATATGCCTCTCCTGAAAAAGTTCATTAAGCCATTCATTCTCTTCCAACTTGTAGAGCTTATTAAGTTCCAGCCAACTTTTCTCAAACTCTTCAACGGTAACGCTCTGGTATACAACAACTTTCAACGGCCTCTTAAATTCATGGTACCTGTCACGTATTGTGCAAATACAGTAAATGATAAATAGTAAGATAGCGTACGTATAGCTGTATTTTTACATACTTGCGAAAATTTAGTTTGTTTTTTAATCCTGTAGAAGAATGAAACAACGACGACCAATAACTTACAGGGTGAATGTTCCAAGATTTTCCGGGATCTTCTTCATAATGTGCCATATACACCATCGATGGCGGGAGTTTGGCCTAAATTTCAGCTAACGGCTTCCTCGTCGCTGCAGCTTGGTCTGTAAGTATGGCCATCGGAGCTTTGTTCCTCATACATTCTACCCACTGGCGGAATACCCAAGAATATGTCTCGCAATCTTCACGAGAAACAAGAGCCTAACCGAGTAGAATCGACTGACCGTGATGGTTCACCCCAACAAAGTTTGCAAATGGAAGTTCATAGCGATTTGTTAGATAAGTGGCATCAAAGCACACAACATCCCCAAACTCTTCATATGCTGCCCGACTGCTTGCATCGACCCAGACGACGTCCTTTAGGCGACCTTCCGCATCCAAACGGTGAGCGTGATAGAAGTTTGAATTATCGGCTTGCATATCTTCAAAGTAACGCATCATTGCTGCAGCGTCACCACCCTCCATTTTAAGCTTCCTCGCCTTATACACCTCATGTTCAAGGTTCTTCACACTAGGTAACACCACATGCTGGCGGGATAAACCACCGTGAATTTGAGTTACGAAAACACCCTGTTCGTATAAGTTTTCTAATTGCTTCCGAACACCAGACGTGACTCTTCATTCTATACTCGTTCACCAGCTTAGATTTGGATGGGGTAGGATTATGATTGTTATGTTCATTGTTCACTTCTTTTATAACCCATTCACCTTCCTCGTTGACACCAGCATATACCGTAGCACCACATTGACACTTTTTGGAGGTCCTCTTCCCGTGCTTTAGCTCATCTTGTCCTATAACCCCATTCACCTTACCACCACACCCGAACACTTCCATCGCCTTAGCCCTCTTCTTAGCCTCCCTTAGCGCCCTCATGTTAGGAGCACCCCAGCATTCACACCGCCATCTTGACCCCCTACGCTCCTTGGTTTTCTTTGAAAAATTTCCTTGAGTGCGAGTAACCCCAAATCCCTTTTGCTCGGCGTACTGTTTATAATATATCTCAATATCCTGCCAGCTTCTAAAAACCATACCCACCCTCGGTGGTTCTACAACGGTAACCACATTAACCCGGTTGTTAGACACAATAGTTTCAATTGTTTGGATCGGAGATGACTATACAACAGTGTTACTACTTGGAATTCCTCTCATAGCATGATCAGGGGTTCACAACAAGGACTCACCAACGACGGAATCAACCATGTTATTGTCAGGCTCTGCACTGACACAAGTCATTGATTCAGAACATATGAAACTGGGGTTATTATCATCACCCAAACGAATTCCACCTACAGAAGTAACAACATCTTCCTCTATCATCGCTTCATCTACAATCGTATCCATAGTTGAACACACGTAAAACATATCTACCTACAATTCAAATTGAGTAATTCTAATCAACTTACAAGATAAATCAACTTATTATACATCAAACCATCATAATATCAAGAAAGGAGATGCGATGATGAACTTACTTTAGGGCTTGGTATTCTCTATAGAGGCAATACCATTTCACATTCTCCTCTTAAATTGCTTAGCTCATCTATTTATCAACAGATCCACCTACAATTCAAATTGAGTAATTCTTACAAGATAAATCAACTTATTATACTTACTTTTTTGCTCGCTATAGACGGTATTCGCTATAGAGGCTCCTCTTGAATTGCTATAGAGGCTCCTCTTGAATGCTTAGGTCGTCTATTGTCTTTTGCTCTTCTTCTACAGTAGCTAACCATAGTTAACAAGCGTTAGATGGGCAACTAACGGCAACAAACTTGGCATCCAAATGTTTGCTAAACGGTGCAAAACGGAGCAAATAAAAGTTGAAGGTGAGGTGTTCAAAATTCTTCAACTAATGGCCAAGGTTTTCCCACTTATTTACAATTCATGCCATCAGGTTAATCTGGGGCATGAATATGTATTCGCCGCAAATTAACAAAAGCAATATATTCAATTAAGTAATATGTAATATACTCCCTAATTTACAACATGGTAACACAAAGCACTTTCCTAAACGTTGATTTTGCCACCCAATTCTCCTAAACGTTGATTTTGCCACCCACTTCAAGTATTACACCAGTACAAGGACATTACATCAAAATTTCTCTTTTGTCCCAACTCCCAAATTTCAAGTCATCCCAACAACATAATCAAAGCAAGACCAAAAGCTATATGCACGAACCTAATTACTCTTAGCTCATCACCTACACTAATTTTGTTGCTTAATCTCAGCTCATGTATTGGACATGAGTAAAAGCTGCTTACCGAGCTTTCTCTCCACCATCGAAACTGGTTTTGATGGAGTATAATCCACCATTAATTCCTCTTAATTCAATTCACCCATTCTTTGTTCAGTTTTTATCATGTAAACATAATTGATATCCAAGAAAGAGAAATAATACATAACACCCAAAAGGTTGCAAATATCTAGAATTTCAGCATGCAACGTTTCAGTCAATACTAAATAGCAAGTTTAACAACCAATTTACTTCTAAGTGTTCCGACTGATAATCTATGTTATACATATGTGAGCCCATATCCCTCTGGCAACCATAGTGTAAGATCTCTTCCAAGTTTTTCCAGTGAGTCATCACTCCCTATTTTAGCCTTGACACCAATCACATCCCTACACATCAAACTTGAAAGCTAAGCTCTGAACTAAAAGCAACATGCAACAATTTCTGAAGGGAGCAAAAAATAATCAAGAGACGAAAAATTGATGAGTTGAGCATAAAATTCACACACACAGCTTTAGATTGTTTCTTAGTAGTTAGTACTACATTAAATACAACAAAGCTAAAGTATAGAAAGTATTTCAAATATAAACAATGAAGCACAATATCAGATTCTCGAGAATTATCTATTATTAGTAGTCTGGGCATTAACCACAAAACCCCAACTCACAAATTGCACTATATATGCTTGAAAATAACAAAGCACAAATCCATAAATAGATCTAGTAGTTTTGGATCTCCCCTCCAGCAGAAGCATACAACTCCAAGTAGAAACAAAGTAATTGCTTTCTTGAAGGGCATAAATGAAACTGAGGTTATAATGGGACAAGTGACACGTCCAAAATTTGTACAGAAGAAAACTTAGGAATACTAGGGGTGCTCCACGCGGTCGTGGCGCGCGAAGCAATTTGATAGAACCTTTATGAAAAATATGATGATTTAGTTACGTTTGAGGTTGGTGTACACCTTGTAATAGCTTGGGTCACACACAAGAGTGTGTCCCGATGTAGTGAAATATACTGAATTTATTTGCTTAGTTGTTTAACTTAGATTTAAATTAGAAGTATATATGTTAATAGGTTTAATTATTGTCTATTGCAAAATACTTTTAGAGATGTTTTTAAGTTTAGATTTTAGAAATATATTTTGAATGTGCTTGTGTGAATATTTTCGTTCATTCCAAATTAGGTGGCAATTCTTAAAAGTGTCTATTTGGCCAATAACGAATTCACTTTCCAAGCTTTCAATATTTTTGACAATATGATAAGAAACATAAAAACAATTAAAAAAATGCCTTGTTTATTACAAGGTAGATTGTAAAATATGAATGGAAATCAAAGTAATAGTAGTATTTTAAAAGTGTAATGTGTTTGAAAGGAAACTGATGTGATATTTAAATTAAGCTATTTCCAAAGAAAATAAAAAATAAAAAATAAAAAAATGCATTGCCTCTCTCCCATCTGTCTCTCATTCATTGCGTCAAAAAAATCTCTCATTCTCCTTCTTGGTCTGATGTTCAGAGAGTGAGGTTGTCCCTTAATAGTTGCATGATAAGAGAGCAGTCCTTGTAAATTTCTTCACCCATAGTATGTGGCTTCTTCAAATGCCTATCAATATATATTAATTTAGTGAACTATTAGATACTCTACCACATGGAAATTGTCAAATTGAAGGCATCAGTATATAACCAATGTATAGCAACACCTAGGAATAAAATTGATTACATAAACAGGCATACAAAAGCTAAGCTAAATTACTTGAAATACAATTAAGGTTCTCAAGACCTAATCTAATGGAATGAGTTGGTGGCAAATCTGTATGAGCAATTTCCTAGAATACGAATAAAATAAGATATTATGTCAAATAATAAGCTCAATACCATACTTGCTACTTAAAATATAATAATATATGCCTAAACCAAAACCAAAAAGGTGAAGAAATATCTTTAGAATTACAGAGAGATCATGTACGTAGAGCAAGTAATACGGTTGCCCATCTTGTAGCTCGATGGGATACCTGTGATAGTGATGAACATGTATGTTTTGGAAACTTCCCCCCAAAGCATTAAAAAAGAAGAAAAAAAAGTATAAATGCATCATCAAATATAAACCACACATCATATATCCACAAACCCCTTTTTTTCTATACCACCATAGAGAACAATTAGACATGTTCCAGACAGATTTGTCAAGCCAAAGCCACATAAATTTATGCATCTCATATTGATTATCTTTACTTGACATAGTTTTCAAGATAATATGCAATAATATCAATAACCCAGTACACACTCTTAGAAAAATCTTATTGGTAAAGACATTAATCACCACAGCTAGCTATTAGGAAATTTAAAGACCTTTATACAGGAGAGAAGAGAATCACATAACTTTATCCAATTTTAGCTCCCATTTGGGGGAAAATAGTCCTATGTTAGACTCCTTAACTCCTATCATGTAAGAAGACTAATTAGCTCAACCAGGAATTTCTATAATTTCAGCATGCATTGTTTCAGTAAAAAGCAACCATTTTACTTCTAAGTGTTCCAACTCCAATAATAACATAGTTGAGTAATTATTTTCCTCCAAAAGAGAAATTTTCAACTTATAATACCTCATTTTGTCCCCTAAAAATCAATATTAAATAAAAATTGCACTACATTAGCTAGCTTAGTTTCCAATGAAAATCTAATACATTGTATGTTACTCAAGAAAGCTATCAATCTTCCACGTTGTTTTTTCTTTTGTTACAACTGTAGTTCATCAAAAAAGAATGATCTCCACTACCCATTTCTTATTGCACTTACTTCAAGCTCAACACCATGGAAAACCAACCACTCATATCAACTGCCAAGCAACTCCTTTCATTCACACGTGTTAACATACCAATCCTAACCATAACAAATAGACTGATCTAGCAATTAATCCAATTTAGGTGATGAGGCATTTATCACACCTCTTGACCACTAAACCAAAACTACCAGGTACTCATTATGCAATTTACAATAAAAGGCTACAAAAAGTACAAGGAAATCCTAACTAACACTTTAACAGATGGTTAAATAAAACATGAAATAAAAGAATTACATGCAATGTTTCCTCTATGCATAATGTCCAAGCAATAAACCAAGTTATCCATCACATTCCAAAACTTAATCTAAATGCAGTAATGCACCAATATTACTTACTTGTTTTAGCTCATGCTTCAGCTCTTGCCTCACACGCTCCATTAGTGATGGGATGAGGCTCCAAATCCCATGGTGTCTAGGCCGTCCAAACCTCTATCAAACAAGTTACCATCATTGTCTATGGGATCATCTTTGTCATCGGGCATAGTAGCCCCCGTGCCTTCAATGGGAGAGACTCCTGAACACAGGAGAGCACAATTTACTAACATCAGTATGCTATCCTAGCACCAATAAACTGGACAAGTACCTTTTCCTCCTCTCACATGAACAAAGTTGCAAGTACCTTTTTGTATACTATCTGCATCATATAGTTTCAACTCCTAGATTTTGACCCAATTTTGTAAGATCCCAAAACCCTATACCAAAGTTTCACAAACAAAATCAAATTGCAACAAATCAAATGACAAATTAAGAACAATATCAAAAATTAAGAAAAGAGAAAGAAGAATTACAAATTCCCGGACGACGCCCTTGTAAACCAAGGTAAAAAGCCAAATATCACCGTTGCTTCATTGTGGCAATGTATGCAATCAAATATCTCATAACAGCACGGTACGCAATGGGAGCTCTAAATGGCTTCAAGTTAGAGCTACATACAGAAACTCAACCACTTAGAGATCATCTTCATCTTATTAACTTGTTCCTAAAACATAATCTAAATGTTTTTAAATTATCAGTTTTAACAGAATCTTTCATGAAATCTACCATCAAAAACATTATAAAAAGACAGCAGTATTACAAATTTGAAATTATGAATACCATTGCTACCTATATATAATTGAAGAAATCAAGACAATGAACCAGTAACGAAGTTGAGAGATAAATTCATAACCAAGCACAAAATCAACAAACAATGTATCAAATGTAATTAACATTGCACAATCTCCCAGCAACAAAGGTATCAAGAGAAATACTTACATGTTTACATGGAATTTCAAGCTTCTTGAGCTTAAGAGTGCGAACGACAAGCAACTTTTGAAGGTCCCCAAACTCAAGCTTCCCCACATGAGCCTCTACTCCTTTCCCTTTCCTATTCAAAAACTCCAATACTTTGACCTTCACTGTCATATCAAACAATACATCAAGCCCTCAAAAAAAAGTTAAAACCAAACTAATAAGGGAATATCTCTAATGGGTTCTGCACAAAATCCAATTGCATTTCCAAAAAGAATGAAGCAAAGTCCATAAATTGTAATCTGAAAGAGAAAATTTAATCTCACAACAAAGACAAAGGAGAATCAAGAGTTTCATAAATTGGTTGTATTATTATTATAATGGATTGCTATTGCTAACTAAGTATACAAGGTAAAGGATTTTGTCTAGTGTGGCCAACAATAGGTTGGCGAACAAAATCTGGATAATACCCTAGAGCAAAAATCATGAATAAAATAGCAGAAAACACCATTCAGCACCAAAAATCGTACAAAACCCATATCAAACAAGAATAAACTAACACAAATACTATAGTAATCCCAAATGAAACATCTAAAACTAATTAATCTTAAAACCCTAAAAGTAAAAAACTACTACGTAATACAATACATTAAGAATAACACAAATTCAAGAAAAGCCCATTAAACTGATCAAAAAGAATATCCAATGTTGCTCAGCCCAGAGGGCTGATCCATGATGCGCAATGCATGGATTGGCCATCTATACACAAGGGCACAAAGGCCATTATTTCTAAAATGTGAAAAAAGGGCCTAAATTTAAGAGATCGTTAGGAACCCTGTTTATATAACCCAAACCCAAGGTTTTCAAGTACACACATACCATGTTCCCCTTCTGCAGTCCTCCGGGTTTTAAAGGGGTGATCACAAGGCAAGGTCAAGTTCTACTAAGAAATAGATCAATACTTCAAAATATTTTCATTTTTCACATTGCAACAGTGATTATTGATAATAAATCTGATAAACAAGATATTAAGATATCACATAGCAATATGAAATCAAAATGCCTAGGATGAAAAAAAAGTTAGCCCATCTTTTTCCATCTAATCCTTAAAACAACCTTTTTTTTATAATCATGAACCACGAGGAAGAACATATGTCAAAACCATTACCACATTAGAAAGACAAAAATAATAACGTGACAAACCATATTAAAATATTAAATTTAGGTAATTACCTGTCTCGTATTAGATATTTCTACATCGTCAGGACTGAAAAGAAGAAAGGATCACGATTAATATCTTGAATATAAACAAAGCTACATAGCTTATAATGAGAAGAGTGGTGAGGAAAGAGGAGAAGGAAAAAAAAACTTATCAACCTGTGGTTAGTTGTCACCCGAGCTCATCAGGATAGCAAAATGTTGCTTCGTTGAATGCTTGACCTTCAATTGCAAACTTTTGGGCACCACTATTCACTCCCAAATGAACCTGAGACAGCAGCCAATAAGTCAATGATATGATATATCCAAGTCAATAAAGGGAAAATGTCTTCAAACACAGCGACTAATAAGCAAACCACTAATGAAAAGAATTCATTAGCATGGTATATAATAGCTCATTCTTGCTGAAGTAAATATAGTATTCATAAGAAGTCAAGAACAAAAACATATTTACTTTTTCACAGCATTGTTACAAAACTTCTGATAAGTTTATGACCCGGGAAGCAAGACATAATGCCAAAGCTAAGAAGAATAGATGATTCTCACTAACAATATTAGGGATAGCTGACAATTTTGTTTCAAAACTTGAATTATAACATCATTAGTGAGATTCCATGAATCATTGCTATTGTGGGATTTCAGGCCATGTTCTTTCTACATAACTTGATGAATAATTTTTTCCTGCATCCCACCTTGATTTTGGGATAAGCATCAGCACAATTGTTAATCAAGTCAAACATATCAAAGTGGGCAATACTTTAGGGATAGAATAATGAAAAACTTAATCAGTCATCCTCTCAATTTCTTGGTTCGCTATAATATTTTTTGCGTGAAAAAAAGACAATGTTACTTAATGTTACTTATATAAGCACAAAGAAATCATCACAAAACACTTTGATTGAACCAGACTTCTAGCAAAATTAGCAAACATACAGCTAAAATTAACATCAAATTAAACAAAACCACTCAAAAAGACAAAAAAAAAATCTTAAAATGAGAGTTAAAAAAAAATGAAATTGATTATACATTTTAAACCCAAATAACTAAATAGTCTAAATGTGTACTGTCCCAAAAGAAGAAGAAGAAAAAAAAAACTAAATGTGTAAGGACTTGAGATGGCTGCACAATTCTACAAAGCCAAACTGATTTAGTTTTTATGAAAAAAAAAAGGATATGAAGATGCCACACACCAATTATCATAGTCATCAACATCTGCAAAAGGCCTCCTCGCTACAAATGGAGTCAGCTGCGAAATAAGCATCAACATTGCAAGTGTAAGTAGGCTTCTAAAATTTTCAAAAAATTATGAAGATATTAAACATTGATTATATGGTTTTTTTAAAAAACAAATAGAAGAACAACAAAATTGAGAAACACAAATTAGAAACTGAATTTGAAAAAAAAAAGGTTGAAACCGGATTGTATTGTATTTGCTAATAGAACCCATACTGAATCAACCCTAGAATTTCATGAATAGTTCCCCAATTTACACGCTTAATCCCAAAACGACAATTGCAAATTATATACTTCGTACAAACCTTTCAATTTAAATATGAATAACAAAATTAACAAGAAACACTTGTTAGAACCAGATTTCCATTGAGAAATTAGCAATAATCATATGAAAATTGTGCCCTTTCAGACTTCTAACACCAAAAAAAAATGAACTTTGGGTATTTCTCTAATTAACCCAAATTATACTCATACATTAATCCCGAAAAATCACCAAAAATCTACATATTTACTCAATAAAAATCCAGAAAAATTAAGAGAGGAGTGAGGAAATGGTACCTCAGTAGCGAGATACTCAAGGACAGCAGAAAAGTAGACAGGAGAACCAGAACCGACCTTCTGAGCATCTCAGCCCTTCTTCAAGAATCTCACAATGTGACCCCACCAGAAACTAAGACCGATCCAGCCGCTCTGATCTTGAATGTGGCGCCATTTAGAAGACCAGTTCTATCAAAATAAATCAACAAATTTAGCACATATTGGCAAAATAAACATCTAACACTCAATCAATCGAACCCTTAGTAAAATTTAGCAATTGACTGGTATCAAAAACAAATATCTTTGACCGATCATTTCACCTTCACCTGTGTTCTAGATCCGTTTTCTATCTCCTCGTTCAACGGCTATTTGTCCTTCCATTCCTCGATCTCTGTAGTGGCTATTTGGCCGTGGATGGCAGGCCGGCGAAATTAAACTGAGATAGAGAAAGCGTGCAAGTTTCCGACACCGAAAACCTGTGAATTGCCTTGATCGGTGGTCACAGCTAAATTGAATAGCTTAGTTTATAAGTTGCATTTGATGGAGGTGAGAAAGCTACATTTGCCTTGTTGATGGTTGTAGAGAAAGTGAACATGGAAGAACAGAAAAAAAAGGGGCGTATGGAAGAGACACTACGGAGGTACAGGAAAGTAAAAAGTAAAAAGTTAAATATTGCAAAAGAAAGAAAAGCCAATGGTCAAGATTCCAAACAATGCATGCTTAGTGATACAATCGAGGTTCAAGAACTTTGCCACACCCTTGCCACGTCAGCAATCTCACACATGCAATAGGCACATGTGGTTACTCTTCATAAGGGAACAAGGTGAAACATTTTAAGGGTTGATGATTGAAAATGGACAACGCAATGGCATCAATCAAATGATATTAGATCATTGGAGAATGTAACCATGACAATCTGCACGAATCATTGGTGTAGATATATTTTTTTTATTTTTTATTTTTATTTATTTATTTTTTTTAGACAATGGTTATAATGGATAACAAACAAGCTACCCATTCTTCCTGCAATGTGTAGCAAGAGCATGGGCTTTGGAAACACAATTCCTAGATACTTTGATGCACATTACAAATTCTCTTCTTGAGCTGCTAGTTTGATGTCCTGTATCGCATTTTTGAGCTCTTCCACTGAGTTGGGTGAGTGCTTGAGACTTTCCACAACCACCAATGCAACTGTTTTAATGATAAGATATGTATAGTGTTGTGGGGATTCTTTGATTGTTGTTAGGATAGCCAGTCCCTCTGTTTGGCTTGGTGATGATGCAAAAACCCTCTTAGCTCCCGATAGATTACAGCTCTGTGAGTTAGCTTGCCAAAAGTTGTTCTCCTTTCTCTTAAAATTTTTCCAGGCTGCATCCACGCAGATGATAAGTTTTGGTCCACTTGAGACTCTTCCTGATGTCCATATCAAAGGTAGCCTATGGCGGAAATTCCTTGAAGTTCGGAGAGAACTGATCAAGGTCTTGAGAGTAGAAGCAGTTTTCCATCTATTGACGTGTACCTGTGCCGCCTCCAAAATAGCTTTTGGGTTGACACTCACGCCATTAAACAGGATGTCATTTCTATGTCCCCAGATTGCCCATGGGATTGAGATGAATCTGGGTATGCTGAGAGGATCATCTTGACCGTCCCTGTGAGTTAGATAACTAATGAAATTAGTTACCCATTCCCTGCAAGACAGGAAACAAGGGTTAGCGGAGATAATGCCAAGAGAAGAGGATGCCCAAATTCTCTTGGTAAAGTCACAAAATCGAAAGATATGATTTGCATCTTCTCTTTCTGAATCGCATAATGGGCAGACATTTTGAATTGGGATTCCTCTTTTCTGCAGATTATCACTTGTTGGGAGGATGTTGTGAGATAATCTCCAAATGAACCACTTCCATTGAGGCAACAAGTCAAGTTTCCAGAATTCTTTCCAAAAGAGTGGCGCTTTTGGCTTCCAAAACTGAGCATTTCTATTTCTAATATGGAACCATTAGCCCGATTTAAATGTGAACTCTCCCTTTCTATCATGTAGCCAAAAGTATTCATCTTGCTGATCCTGTTCTGGGATGTGAATTACCATGATATTTCTAGTTGTTGCTGCATCAAAGTTCCTCCATATGATGCTTGAGTTCCATTGTCTCGAGCTAGTCATCAGATCTGCCACCTTCGCTCCTTGCTGAAGATTGGTATTATTCAAAGGAGAAATTGTTTCTTTCCCAACCCAGATGTCTTGTGTGATAGAGGTGGATTGACCATTCCCAATTCTTTTCCCAATTGCTCCTGTAAAAGATCTCACAGCTTTGATCATGCTCTTGGCTGCCCAAGAGCCTCTTTGAATCTGCTTATTTGATAGTCCTAGAGAGATAGGATTGGATCCATATCTAGCCTTAAAGATCTTGCTTGCTAGCATGTGAGGATTCTTGTAAAATCTCCAGCTATTCTTCATGAGAAGATTGTTGTTAATTGCTCTCACCTCTTTTATTCCAAGACCTCCTTCAGTTTTATGTGAGTAGAGCACATCTTTTTTCCTCTAATAAATTTTCCTCTGGTGATCATTCGAACTCCACCAAAACCTATTAATAGTTGAATTGATTTTATCTATTAATAGTTCAGGACACCAAAAAATTGAAAGGATGTGTTGTGCCATTGCAACAAGAATGCCATTGATGAGTAAGAGCTTTCCTGTTTGGGAAATAAAAGAGAACTTCCATGAGGAGATTTTTTGTTTAATCTTGCTTAGAATGCTAGCAAGTTTTATAGAGGAGCGACCATCGACATCCATTGGGCATCCTAGATATGTGCCTAACTCTTTGCTACTCCTTACTCCGAGAGGTTTTCTCAAGATTCTAACAAATCTAGGAGGGGTATTTGGGCTGAAGATAATTGAGGATTTGTTCGAATTGACTACCTCCCTAGAAATTAGACAAAAATCATTGATTACCTGCTTTACGAGCCTGCAAGAGAATGGGGTTGCCTAAAAGCAAAGAAGGGCGTCATTTGTGAAGAAAATATGATTAATTGATGGAGCATTATACGCCAGTTTGATTCCTTACAACTCATTTCTATCCTGAAGGGAGTGAAGCTTTCTTGAAAGAACTTCCATCACCAAAATAAAAAGATAAGGAGATAGTGGATCTCCTTGTCTTAGGCCCACCTTAGGAGAGAAAAAGGGTGTTAGTTCACCATTAATTAGGATGGCATAAGTAACCGTGGACACGCATTATTGCATAATCCACGATCTCCAACTAGGCAGGAATTGCATATGATGGAGAATCTTGTCTATGAAGTCCCATCGAACCCTATCATAAGCCTTGCTTAGATCAATTTTTAAAATGCCCTCGAATCTACTACCTTTCTTCCTGGATTTGATTTTGCTTTGATTTTACTCAAAATCTCATGGGCAATAAAGCAGTTGTCACTCATTAATCGTCCCAAGATGAAGGCATTCTGGAAATCTCCAATTAGCTCTGGAAGGATTGACTTTAGTCGATTTACCATGCATTTTGAAATCACCTTATACAAGGAATTGCATAAGCTAATGGGCCTAAATTTATCCACCTTCTTTGGCTGATTGATCTTGGGGATTAAAGTGATGTAGGTCCTATTAGCTTCCTTTAATAGGTGACCTGTAGAGAAAAAATGCTGAACACCCTTGAAAATGTCCTCCTTTACCACTTCCCAATTTTCTTGATAAAACATGGGTGGTGTTCCATCCGGACCAGGAGTTTTTAGAGGGTGCGGAGCAAGAACAACAGCTTTGATTTCAGCTTTAGAGAAAGGCTTAACAAGCCAATCTTTTTAGGCTTGCATGAGTACGGGAAGGCCAGAAATCCAATTATTTGAGAGATCCTCTATTGTTTGGGCCTGGGCCTCATCCAATTGAACACCTTCAAAGAGTTTAAAGAAATAGCTCTGGAACTAGGCCTTGATTTCGGTTGGATTCGAAACCCATACTCCATTTTCATCTTGTAACACACAAATTTCAGCCTTCAAGGATCTTTCCTTTACACTCTTATAAAAGAAGGCAGTTGATTGATCTCCAAATGCATCCCATCTTGATTTGGCTCTCTGTCTCCAATACCACCATTGCAATGTTGCTTTCTCTTCTTTGAGAAATCTCCTCACCAAAGGTTGCACACTCCATAATTTTGTTTTCTGATTGCAATTCCTCTAGATCATCTTTGATGCACTTCCAATCCTGAAGTAAGTGAAGCTTCCTTTTGGTCAAACACCAGTTTTTTAGATCCTTTAAGAACATCTTGGTCTTTCCTTGGGCTTTAAAAAGAGAAGAGACTTGAACCTGTGTAACCCAAGTTGAAGCAACCAAATCATGAACTTCCTTAAGTTTTAGACACCACGCTTCCATTTTATAAGGGCACCTTTTTTTATTTGTGTTTGAACTTAGATCAAGTACTACTGGTGAGTGGTCAGAGAACATTATTGGAAGATTCCATAATTTGGCATTTGGGAAAAGGAACTTCCAATCATTATTAGCGTAAGCCCTATCTAGTTGCTCGTAGATTGGATCTTGCACTCTATTATTGCACCACGTATACTTAAGTCCCATCGAGTGAATGCTTGTTAATCTATTTTCCAAGAGCCAAAAATTGAACTTTAGCACTCCTGGAATATTCGAATTACCCCCTAACTTTTGTTCCAAGGACTCAAGTTGGTTAAAATCACCAATTAAAATCCAACTCCCTTTGTAATGAAGCATAAGATCAGACAGGGTTTTCCATACTTCTTCTCGTTGGGACGAATAAGGGAAACCATACACACAAGCCAAGTAATAAGAAACATCACCTACTAATAATATATTACAAAGGATAATGTTAGGAAGAGTAGCTACTACGGTCACACTGACCCTATCCGACCAATAAAGGAACAACCCTCCTTTGTTGTTAATAGCATCTACTCCCGTAAACCCTCTAAAGCCTTTCTTACTAAAAATGGGGTTAACGAGAACACATTACATTTAGATTCACTAATAAAAATAAAGTCAACATTAAACCTAGCCTCTAAGAACGAGATCATAGGGAAAATTGGGGAATTCTTGTCACACATTCCCCTACAATTCCAACTTAAAACACTCATTTTTCCTCCGGAGGCTGTGGGCCAGCCGCGCCATCATCAACAATCATCAGGTTAGGCTTACTAGTGACTTCATCATCCGAGCTCACTGTATCCTCTTTAACTAAGATTTTCAAGACTTGAATTCTTACTAGAAGTTTAGCACCATTCTCAGCATCTTGGAATTTCTCCCACAGATCATCTTCTCCACTTAGTCCAAACTTAAATCTCTTGCTACTGCCACTACCCTCACCCAAGCCTCTCTCTTTAGCACTTCTCTTTCCAGTAGGGCGTTCAACTCTAGGAGAAAACTCAACCCCTTCCTCCAGATCTTTCACCACTTTCGATCCCCACTTTTTCTTTCTCGGTCCCTCTTCCGAGAATCTCCTTCCTTTTCTCCTTTTAAACAACAATTTCCTCTGCTCATGGCTGTAGAATTATTGCTCAAAGTCCGAAGAACCTTTACTCGAATGAATCTCCAATTTTTTCTAGTTTCAGAGCATCTTAAAGGGAGTCAGAGGAGATTGATGAAGGAGCAGTGTTAAACGACTCAACCGAAGCAGATGAGTTTGGTGGGCTTGGAAGATTCATATTGATTAGAGAGAATTTCGAAGAGCTAGAAGAGGAGCGGTGAGCTGGTCCTTTTAGCTTCGGCCAGTCATGGGCCGGATTCAGGGGAGAGCTGGTGTTACAAGTGGCTTTGCAATACGCTTTGGCTTTTGCTAGAAGAGTGTTTAAGGAAATGTAGGAAGGAGAGGAGTTAACTTGAGAGGCACGGTAGGTTTCAAGCTCTTCCGGGTTTACCATGACTAAGGGGAAGGAAAATTCAATTTCCCTAATTAAAGGGTCAACTAATACACTTTTTGGTCGAAAAGGATCGAGAAGGGGATTTTTTTGTGTACACTCTGTCTGTGGGGACTAGGGAAACTTGGAAGTCTTCTTCAATTTACCATATTAGTAGTGTGCAGCTTGGAAAAGGACATGACAGTTGGTGGTTGGTCTTGATAAGGAAGGAGAGAATGAAATAAAGAGATGGTGGGGCTTTTGACCGAATAAATGGGGGAGGGGTAAGCATAATTAAACAGAGAATAAAGAAAAGGAACTGAAAGTTTGAGAGAGGAGATATCATAAATGCAGTTGGTTGGGAGTGTAGGCAAATACTCATTGAATGAAGCAGAGAGAAGCAAATTAGAAGTATCTCCCATAAGTGTAATACTATCTAAGGAGACAGGGTGGCAAGACTGAGTGATGTTCCAGAATGTTGAGTCTCGAGATAGCTTACGTGGAGATGGGAGGTCCTCTAAGTTGGGACAGTCAACGGAGCTCAAGCAGCCCAAGTCAACAGGGGGAAAGGAGGAGAAAATAGAAATTAATTGAAGGAAATTGCTACTGTAGGTAGATTGATTACCTGGTAGCAGGGAGTTGGAACTTTGACTACCAAGAGTACACCTCCGTTTCCCGTTATTATATATTACAGCACCAGCTTCTGGGAGGGGAATATCGTTTGTCTGAGAACACCAAACAGGACTCTCCTCTTTCGATGGTGAAGATGGGTTTGGCCGTTGCAATTTCCGTTGATACTCAGCTTCAGACTCCGATCCAGTACCAGATGTTGATCGTTTGCACCATGTGGTTGCATATTTACGCTTATGCCCTTTCACCAGAGGTGGAGATGATATCCTTTCCTTCCACTTACTCAATCTATCTCCCATATATTGCAGCTCTGGGATAATAAGGGGTGGTAAGGGGCTTAATCCCCTACATGATTGGATGCAGACAATGTGACAAGCTTGAGGGGGTAATTTGAGTCTCTTCTTCAAGTGCTTGGAAGCATCATCTCTTGAAGTATCAGAGCTTGAGGAGACAATCATGGCAGAAGTTTGTCTCTTTTGTACTCGGTTGCTAGGTCCTGGATCTTGAGGACTAGAATGGTTGCTCGAAGAGGATGAGGATGACTGATTGCTTGAAGAGTCAAAGTGCAAGTTCTGATTATCTGTTTCCCTATGCTCCGGAGAACGATTTGGAGGGGTGTGTTCAGATGATGAAGAAGCTGGTGATGGGTGAGGGTAGATCCTTAGGTTCACCCTGGTGGTCCTATGCCTCTCTATGTCATTTAAACCCATGATTTTCTTGGAGTACAAAGGTGTCTGGGGGCGAGCTGGGAGTAGATCATGATTTGGACCACATATGCTTCTAATTCTGTAATTGACTTCTCTGTGAGCAAAATTGATTGGCACACGACATAGAGGTTGCCTATGTCCAATTTTTCCAAAACAATGACAGCAGATGAAGTCTGAACTGATTTCATTAAAGAAACCAGGGATCAGAGGTTTGTAACACGGGATTACAACTTTAGCTCGCATAATGGAGTGAGGTCTATCATCTAGAGATGCTTGGTCAAATCTGATTACTCTACCAATTCGTTCCAAGATTCTTCTAGCAACTTGAGGTTGACATTCTTCTGTAGGAATGCCATCCACCTTGATCCAAATTGGGTCTTCAGAGAAGTCCATGTTGAGCACATTCAACCCCATTACCCATTCTTTGAAGTTAATGAGAGCACCCATGTATGAAGCAGAGCCAAGGGAGATTAGATTTTCTATGTCTTCCCATGAAGTACAGAAAAAGAAGAACAAGTCCTTTGAGTGAGTAGCTTTTTCCACTATGATTGCTCTGTTTGTTTTCCAACAAACATCCACTCATGATTGCAGTTGGATTTCACTAAACTCCCTAACATCTAGGACTTTAGCTACAACAGCTAGATTATATTTATCAACGTCCTCAAGTGAGTCAAAAGGCATTTTGGGGATGCCTACTCCAAGTCTATTGAGATTAGCATAACTAAAATTCGATGACATGAGGGAAGATGGAAATGGAAAGCAAAAGAAAAGGGGAGAAAATTAGGAGATTGAGAGAAAATCAATTGGAAAGTCAAGAAGAAAATAAGCTTCTCTAGTGAAAACTAAAGAGAAAACACTCTAGAGAGAGAATCTAGAGAGAGAGCCATTGGTGTAGATATTGATCCCAAGAAGTTTGATGTAGAAACTGTCTTCATTCTTTAGTCCAGATTGTCAATATCTCATCCATATTATTTGCTGGCACTGTTAATGCCTGTTGCATATCTAGCACTGGTTTTATTCTATGGGTTACATTCTCGAATGATCTAATATCATTTGATTGGTGCCATGATTACATTCTCGAATGGACCCATAGCAGCGCAACCAAATCACTTGCCCTGGGATGTCGCGCGCAACTCATCCAGATTCGCGCGACACCTGTTGCGGCAGAATGTACAAAACCCTAAACTCACCCATTCCCTATAAATAGAGGCTTAACACGAGGCTCAAACAGACAGAAATTAACCTAAAACTCTGGCAGAAACTTTGTGAACTTGTGTGCTACCAAACCTCATGTCCTAAACACTCACCCCCCTCATACCTATTACTATGGTGGAGGTTCCCGAACAAGGAGCCCATAAGTATCCTAAACGAAGATCTAGTAAAGAGAAGTGCGTGGTAAAATCCCGAGCACTTAGATCAATCATATTTATTTTATTGCTTAAAACAACTTTAATCAATTAATTGGTGTTATTTGATCACTTTAAACGGATTTTTAATTAATCAATTCCACATATTATCTTGCGTTAAATAAGAATAGAATTGAATAATTAATTGGTGATTGATCACTTAAGCCAAGGCAAATCTTGTTTATTTTTGGTTCTATTCACGAATATTGATTAAATAAAGAATAACGACTTTGCAATGTAATTCCTACGTGATTGATGCGTGTAAATAAAATCGACTAACTTAGTTTTAGGTATCGCGTTGCATATATTGTCTGGTGATGAAATTGTGAAAAAGGAAGAGCTAGTAGAGGCCGCACTAGGGCTAGGATAACGATTCCCCTCTAAAGGGAACGTTATCTTACCCTCGCTCCCGAACTCATTTCTGAATTATGTAGACCAATTTGGGCATGGGTAAACTTATGATTCGTGCTAATTATCCCATGAACTCTACTTGGGAGGAAGACATGAACGAGGTTTATGAGTTTTCCTAAAACTCATTGGTGACTCCTACTTGTTTCTTACAAAAAAACGTGATGATGGAATCAATTCTAATTCAAGTTCCCCAAACAGCCAGGAATTCAAATCCTAATACACCCTAACAAGTGTAAAGTCCTAGGCTTTTAAAGGGCCATGGGCATTTAAGGAGAAGGATCCCCTGTGATGGGAACACCCTCCTTACACCACCATCAAACCACCACCAAGGATTCGTCGCCGCCACCTCCTACTACACCACTAGGGACCGCAATTCTTTCCTCGTAGCAATGGTGGTGCGAAATCACAAATCATAAATTTGATTCAATAGCAAATTCGAAACAATACCCCTTTGGATTAATTATAATTTTTTTATGCAATTGATGTAAATTTTAGATTTTAATTTAGATCTAGAAATAATGAGGAGCTGAGGAGAGAGAAAGAGAAGGGAAGAGAAGAAGGATAGAGAAAGAGAAGACAAAATAGTGAACGGTTGGGTGCGGGTGGACGCGGCCAATAGTTTGCGAATTAGTAGACCTTATTGGTTTCAGGTAGATTATGAGTCGATTCTAGATCAAGTTTGGATTGTAAATTATCATGTTAAGTCGAGTTTAAATTATTCTTGAATTGACTTAAAGTCAGATTTGGATCTAAGATTTCTCGAGTCAAAATAATTTAAAATAGTTAAATTTTAGATAAAATTTTTAAGTCGGGTAAGTTTTTTTACACCAAGGCAAATTATACTTACACTTTACATGAACATATACTAAGTAAAAAGTATGAACCTTTTATGTCTCATAATCAATTAACAAACATTATCTAAATGCAAAAACTAGATAGTACTTTTCCCCATTTAAAATTACAATTATTCAATTAACTAAATTTAAAATTAAGTTTATTCCATGTTAATCTCCATCGTACCACCCAAAACTTCTCATTTCTCAATTTCCTCTCTTTTTTCTGCTCCTACTTTCTACCAGATTCACCGACCAACCCCGTTTCTGGTTGCCGGAAAATCTAGATCTTCTCGGCGGAAACCTCGCCGGAAACGCCTTGAAGCTGACATGTCAGTCTCCATTCCGGTGCCGCCGGTCACCACCCACCGCCGCGATAAGGATGACGACCCATTTTCTGCTTCCGCAAATGGTAACTGCGTTTTAAAAAAAAGTTGTAATCTTGGGTCGATTTTGCTTAATTCATGTTTTATTAGCTGTTTAATTGTTACGCTTTGTTATTACTAAGTTGAATTTTTGTGGTTATTGTTTGTTGAATATTGTTTATGATCTTGATTTATGATATTGGCATGGCTCAAAGTTGAGGTGTTCTAATTGCATTTGAAGTGAGTATTTGTTGATTTGATTATGTTATCTATCTTTAAATGATGTTAATGTGATGTTATTTTGTGGTTAGAAATTTGAGGGTTATTTTACGACGAGTTTCGAGGGGGATTAGTTCTTAGCAATGAGGAAGCGGAAGTTCTTAATATATGGAGAAGAAAAGCCCTAAATGTTGGTTACTATAGAGAGGGCGATGTACTAGGACCTTTGGATATCATTGAACTACCTCATAAAGTATGTTAATTTACTCGGGATACTCCTCATCCTATGTCTTACTTAGTTCCTTTATTTCTTTTTGATGTTCTTGATTAGAATCTTGCAACTAGTTAAAATTTGAGGGAATCTCCTATATTTTATTCCAAATATGTAAGAAAAAATATAGTGATATGGGGTATTCTTTGATTCGTTTATCACATATTTTATAATTTTTACCTTATAAGAGATATTAATGGTAAAAGACGTGCATTGTCAAGCGTGTACAATCAAAATAAGAACATCAAAAAGAAACAAGAACATAAAAAAGAAACAAGAACATCAAAAAGATACCAAAGGAGTGGTATTTTCAACAATTGGGATTTTCAACTTGCACTTTATATTAAACAAATCTAGCGATATCTAAAAAAATGTTTTTAAGAATGAGACAAATTTCTTGCAAGTATAGGTACAAAAAATAAGCTCAAAAGTAGTGAGTCATTAAAAGCAAGTAACTTATTGAAATTGAAGCTCACAATAACATAATCTGTAAAACTTAATAGTGTTGCAATGATGTATGATTTAAATAATATATTCTGATACGATTAATAATTAATGCGATTAATATTAATTTCATTTTAAGCTTTGACACTTATGGGGGACGAACAACAGGTTGAGGTATAAAAGCCAACATATCTAAGTACAAAGTTTGTCACTCTTCTTTATACTTAACCTAACAATATTATGTTCAATTTCATAAGGAATAAATCCAAAGGATGACCACAAAAAAAGTCCAAGGCAATATTACATGAATACAGAATCAGGGGCTCTTTTCATGGACCCTAATGCCTACAGCTTCAGTCATGTTTTGACTTCAAATTTAGGTTACGTTCTTAATCTTAACCTTTCAAAAACTCTTTTGAAACTTTTTAAGAAAAAAGTCCTTTTATTTTCAGTTGCTATAAAGTGTATATTTAGAAAAAGGTTCTTGCACATTTTGGAGTTATTAAAAGCATGAAACCAGATAGGAAAACATTAACATAGTTACCTTTAGCATTCAAGGAATATCCTTATAAGACTAATAGAGCTCAATGTCTTGATATCCATATAAAGAGAAATACTACCAGAACCTTAGACTTCTTGTGTGTTGGTTAGCTTATTGACTTTTGCACCAGTTAACCACTGTCCTCGAGAACTAATGTATTAGAATTAAGATCTGAGGATGATATGCTTGATCAAGTTACAATGGATTGTCCCTCGCCATTGCTGAGTATTAAGTTACCATCATGAGACAGTGTAAGTTGGGAACTTGGGATGATGGATTGACGTTTCCCGTCCACCCAATAATCTTTCCAGAATGTTTGTTGTACCATATGCCACTGTATTAGTCATCGGTGTAATCATAGTTGACATCTTACGGATAAAAACCAAGTGCCATTTCTAGAGGTAATATTATTGCAAAGGAGATAGTTTGACCTGGGTGATTGGTGTCTGTTGCTTGATATAATAATTAACTGGGTAATAGAGCGAAAAGAGGTCTTATAATGCAGAGTACTTTACATTCCTTATTAGCAATGCAAGACACATAACTAGGGGTTTAAATCAAACTAGGCAACCAAAATTTAAACGTTCGAATCAAAGGGACAAAATTGCCCTGATTCTAGGACTCCAGGTCGCTTGCTTAAATTACTTCTTGGTTTTTCTTGCTGATTCTGAAAGTCTTTTGAAAAAATTATGTATGTATCCATCAATTTTGTAATATATAATTCTCTACCGTGTAATAGCACCAAAAATACAACCCTTGTCGGTATTGGTAATTGTCAAAAGGCATTTACTTTCTAATGAGTAGAACTCCTTGACTATGGAAAATATGTTCTGTAATCATAGAACTGCCAAGGTATGAGAATATTTTTCTTGAGTAATGCCTGAAAATTTTGTCTTGGTCGTCGTGGTACAAGCTGCATTGGAGAGTGAAATTGTCCAGCATTGTACCTGCACATAATATTGTGCATAAGGAAAAACACATTGTAAATTTACAATAAACACCTTAAAAGTTATGGAAATGGTAGAACATGCATAATTAATCATTGAAGGTCACTAAAGTCTAGAAGACGGAGATGGAGGTGATATCAATCTATCATTATTTTCATCGTCATGTGCATTGATGTATATCCGTAAATAATCGTTAGCTTCTCTTTGTAACTGAATTTTGATATACTACCTCCGTTAAATGTTATGTGCAACTTTAGAATATTTTATATCTCACAAATAATACCCCAAAGTTGCACATAACAATTAACGGAGGTAGTAGTTGTTTGAAAATGATAAATTAATTCAGAATCCTGTATTTATCTGCAATGCACCCACCACCCACCGTTCTCACCTACTGTAGACAACAGAAGGGATAGCAGAGCAGCAACCAACAACAACAACAACAAGCCGTGGCCCATACAAAATCAGGGAGGGAACCTAAAGTTGCAGGCAAGCAGTCTGGGTGTTTGTTTGCTACTGTGGAAGAAGACAAGAGTAGTACTTGTAATAATTAAGGCCTTGTTGCAAACTTATGCAATGTAGTAGACCTAGTAGTAGTATAAACAGAAGTAGTCTAGAGTAGAGAAGTTTAGGCAGAAAATTATTATAGAGTGTTCTTGGAGAGTGATGGCCTAAAGCCATTTACGTTGTACGCAAGCCTTGTGCTTTATCTATCAAATTAACCTTCCGACCATTTATTTTCAGTCCGAACCACCACGTTCGTTGCACTTGGTATTAGAGCAACCATGGCTCCAACAGCCCCCGACAGTCACCGTTGAACGAATAGCCGCGCTAGAGGAACGAGTAGAGGAGATTTTTGAGAAAATCGGGGAGGGAGAAAATTCTCTCCAACATATTCTGATGAGAGCCAGGCGGAGGAATCGCGCAAGAACCGAGAGGCCATTGACCCACGCTAGAAGGCCGAATTTCGACACGAGCAAAACCAACGGAACACACTGATGAAGAACAATCAAGATAAATTCTTTGAGGAAATTCAAGGAGTGTTGGCGACCATCAAAGATTTGGGCAAACAACCAATCACGGTGGAAGATGAGGTGGAGCAGCCGCCGCAAGGTGCTGGAGGTTTAAAAGGACCACTGCTGGGAGCTGGAGACTTCAACAGGCTCCGTTTCAGCAGTTGGGAACCCGGAGCTGGAGGAAGATTTGGTAACAAAAACGACCCCTACAACGACCATCGCACAACAACCACCACGACAATCATGAAAATCGGGTAAACTGGAAAATTCGAAAGTTGGATATGCCGATTTTCGACGGGTATAACCCAGATGGGTGGATCCTACGGAGCGAGCAATATTTTCAATTCTATCGTCTCTCGGAGATAGAGAAGCTTCAGGCAGCCATTGTAGTCATGGACGGTTAAGGTGGTATCAATGGGAGAGCCGCCGCCGACCACTAATCGGGTGGGAGGATCTCACAACTCGAGTTTTGAATCAATTTTGGCCGGTGAATGAAGGGAGCCTCCATGAGCAGTGGCTCGAGGTGGAGGACCGTCGAGTCTTCATCGAGAAAGCTTCCCCCTTGGTGGACATTCCAGAAAGTTTGATGAGAGGACATTTAATCAATGGCTTGAAGGAGGAGGTAAAGGCAGAGATCCGTTTGCTAAACCCATTAACCCTTGAAGAGGCCATGGACCTAGTGAGTTGGGTCGAAGAACGTAATCGGTTCAAAGGGTTACAGAACACGAGAGGAGTGTTTTCTAAGTTTGGGCAGTATTCTTATTTTACTAGAAACCCAACTAACACTATTCTGGAAACCGGCGAGCCCAAAATAATACCCCCTAGTTTTATATTCCAATTAAAACCAGCCCACCTTTTAACTCCCAAATCAACCCAACCTCACAATATAATCCAATTGAAACCAACCCACCTTTTAACTCCCAAACCAACCCAACCTCACAAAGCTCTATAGCGTCAGTAAACCACCCACCCACCGCCTACCAAAATCGAACCAAACCAAGCTCCTCTCGTTTCAGCGGCGAAGTTCGGAGGCTGACTGAGCGGGAAATTCAAGAGAAGAAATCAAAGGGGCTGTGTTTTAAGTGCGACGGTTGGTGGACCGGCCCCAGTCACGTATGCGCGGTTAAGGGACTGAGCGTCCTGCTTGTAGAGGAGGAGGATGAGGGCGCTGAGGGAGAGTTTATGGCAATGGAGATTCCGTCAGAACAAATCCCGGCCAACGCCTCCTTCAATTAGATGGTCGGGTTGCCCAAACCAAATGTGATGAAATTTACTGGTGAAATTAAAGGGAAGTCAGTTGTGATAATGATCAATTCCGGCGCCACTAACAACTTTATTTCGCTTCAATCGGTTGAGGAGCTCGGGATAGCAATTTCTGGTATCACTACTTTCGGAGTTTCCCTCGGGAACGGTGAGATCATTACAGGGAGTGGGCAATGTTGTGGAGTACGATTGAAGCTCAGTGATGAGTTGGTGATAGAAGAGGATTTTTCACGTCTTCAATTAGGGAGCTCTGACGTCATTCTAGGTGTACAGTGGCTGGAAAAACTAGGGTTGGTGTTGGCAAACTGGAAATTGCAGGAGATGAGTTTTTCGGTGGAAGGGAGGAGGGTGATTCGGGCTTGGATCACACGGAGATCACTCGCAAGGCTATGTTTGAGACTTTTAGAAAACAAAAGGGGGGGCTGTTGGATGAGTCAAATCAGTTCGAAGATGAGCAAGAGAAGTCAGTGAGTGAACCACCTAAATTTTTACAAGGAGCACCAGCAGCATACAGCACGGTGTTTGAGGAACCGTTGGATGAGCTTTTTGACTTCCACCTTGAGGACAAGGTGGCTCTTTTGGGGTGCGGTATTGCAATGCACCCACCACCCACCGTTCTTACCTACTGCAGACAACAGAAGGGACAGCAGCAGAGCAGCAGACCAACAACAACAACAAGCCGTGGCCCATACAAAATCAGGGAGGGAACCTAAAGTTGCAGGCAAGCAGTCTGGGTGTTTGTTTGATACTGTGGTAAAGTAGGAAGAAGAAAAGAGTAGTAATTGTAGTAATTAAGGCCTTGTTGCCAACTTATGCAATGTAGTAGACCTAGTAGTAGTATAAATAGAAGTATTCTAGGGTAGGAAGTTTAGGCAGAAAATTATTAGTGTTATTGGAGAGTGATGGCCTAAAGCCATTTACTTTGTATGCAAGCCTTGTGCTTTACCTGTCAAATTAACCTTCCGACCATTTATTTTTAGTCCGAACCACCACGTTCGTTGCATTATTACTGCATTGACTTAAAAAAAACAAAATAATTTGTGTAGGAGATGCCAAGATAACTTCTAGCAGATGTCAGGGAAGGGCATTTGTTAATAAGGGTCTAATTAGTAGAGGGTCAACTAATATTTGGGGTTCTAATTTTCTTGAAGTTCTCATATGTTATTTGAAGAATGTATGGATCTGTCAAATTTAAATCTTTTTCTTTAAGGTCTGTCTTTTTGCTATAGGTTTTTGGTCATATATGAGATGGTCTTTTAGAAAGTTGTTGTCTCATGGCTTCTTTGAAGGATCATCACGTTAGTTACCCTTGTGTATCTTAGACGTCTGAGTTTTTTTTTTTTTTTTTTTTTTTTTTTTTTTTTTTTTTTTTTTTTTTTTCTTGATCCAGATTCAAGAGAAGGAGATTTGTTAACAGCCGAGGCAGAGAATGAGGCGTCTTCAAGTAAATTATTAGGCAAGCGCAAAATCAAATCTAAGAGCTGGTTTAGCTGTTTTGGTGTGGACATGTCACCAGATACAATTGCTGTTGCCATGGTTTACTTTGTCCAAGGTGTTTTAGGCCTCTCACGGCTTGCTGTCAGTTTTTATCTGAAAGATGATTTGCATCTAGATCCTGCAGAGGTATGTTATGTAACTTTTTCTTTACCCTTCAATTTCATTATTAGTTGTATATATAATGTCATTGATGTATGTCATGTCGCCAGAAGTACTATTACATGAATGAACAGTATGTATTGTTATTTGCGAATCTCGATGGAAACCAAGCAAACCACTATTGCATGGTGTCTGAAGTAATAAAACTAGAAAAGTTAGTCCCATATAACTTAGAGTGAAAAACATATGTCATGCTACTAACTAGCTGGAGTCGAGGACTGCTAGAGAAAGCTAAAACTATTGCCTACTTCTGCTCCTAGCTGAACCCTAAATTCTCTCTGCTTCATTCACCCCCTAATATATCTCTCGATTCTCGTAAGCTGCACTCTCCTATTCCGTTGTTGCTTTATCTCTTCAAAGTTATCAGCAATCTAAACTATATTAGTGTATTTAGCCATTAGATCAGTCAGGCGTCATGCTGATCTGAACTAATAAATGATTATATAATTCGGTAGCTCTAACAGAGTTGATGAGAAGTGAGGTGCAAATATTAAGTCCAGCTCCAGTCAAAAGGGTCTAAATTGATTAATTGAAGAATGATGCTGATTCATTGCACTTAGGCCAACTGTAGAGTTTGGCCCGAATTTGGGCTCCTACTGGTGGGCTGCAACACTGCATGGGTTGCTGTTGCTGTATTTCATGTTCCTTTTGATTCGAATGGAGAGATAAGGTTGAGTTGGCTGGTACAGCTCAGTATATAAAAAAAATAACATTGTTACCTTAGACAGCTCCAATTTCTGTGTAAAGTAGTAGTAAACAAAATTGAAATAAATAGGTTAGAGCGTTATATCCCTAATGGCAAAACTACACAATACAAGTTATTAAACTTTGCAAAGTTATGTGTTAAACAATCACCAGATTCACCACTGACCTCTTTGTTATTATGTACTTTACTGCTTTGAAATGTATGTATTTTGTTTTTATCTTGTGTATAAACATGATACTTCTTAGCACAATCTGCAGCATTTGATTTTTCAAATGGCTTGCTAATGTCATAAGTTCTGCACTGAAAGGTGCAATATATGGATGTGATGATGGTGCTGTAATTTTTTTATCCACATGAATTTGATAGTAATCCTAGTATATGTAGTATGCTTAAGGTAAGTTTATTACTCAATTCCAAACATTGAAATACTAACAAACCTACTGTTGATTGACTAGACAGCTGTCATATCTGGGTTCTCTTCATTCCCTTGGCTTGTTAAGCCTCTTTACGGATTTATAAGGTACCTGTTCCTACTAAGTGTGTTTTATTTTATATCTAATCACATTGTCTGTTTTTCTTATATTGTTGTATTAATTTATTGAAAAATAATGTTTGCAGTGATTCAATACCTCTTTTTGGATATCGAAGAAGATCATATTTGGTACTTTCTGGCCTTCTTGGTGCATTTTCCTGGACTTTGATGGCCACTATGGTTGATAGCAAATACAGTGCTGCTTGTTGCATACTTCTTGGATCTCTATCAGTCGCCTTTTCTGATGTTGTAAGCATTTCTAATGCTCTTTTACCTGAAAAATATTATGTTTTATAGCTCTTAGTGTTGGACTCTTAGTTAAAATTCTATGGCTGGAGACAGCTTTGACGTGTCATAATGAGGAGCCTGCATTCTAAATGTGTATTTAACTGATTCATGAGATCCTAGTATCCTACAGCCATTTAATTAAAAGTATGGGTCGCACATAGTAACTTCCATTACATGTACCAGATTTTGGTTTCTGTAGGTCTTAAAATTATACAAAGTATTTACTTATGTTTGGAGAATAGAGAGTGCACCCATCCAAGGCATCCATAGAGGACAGTGTCTACTACAATAATTTAATTGATAATGAGAAAATATTACTTCTTTAAGGTTGTTCAAACACATATGTTATGTGAGTCGACTCCTAATAAATAGCATATGTTGTTTTGCTACAATTTCAAGATCAATTTTGATAATATTCCAGTAATAATACAACAATTATAAATAACAAAAGAAAAGAAAAGTGTATGTTGGTCTTTTTGTCTGATATATCTTCATATTAGCAGCATCCATAGTCAAAAGATTAAGTAAAAATTGTTTCTCGCACATTGCTCCTTTTATTGAGCAAAGATATGATTATCCATGGTCATAGGAATTGAATTTTCAAAACAATTCACTAAATTCTAGTAGTATTAGACCCTTTAATTTATTTTTGCTTAGAGTTTGGTAGTCAGAATTTTGATGCTATTGTTCAATAATTGTGCATTTGCTTACTGTTTATTGCTCAGTGTTCATTATATGCTGAAGCTCTTATGCTCATGACTCCTACATCGATTTGCACTTGAGATATCATTAGCATTTGCCCAGCTTATTCATGATTTGTCTAGTCATCATTTTTGGTTCCTTGGATGAGCCAAATAACTTATTGATGGATTCCATGAACCAGTGTTATTCTGGAAAGGATATTGAGTAAGATTCATTAATTCAATTTGAAGGGCATATGCACCTAGATTGCTCTATACTTATTATTTTAATATCCTTATCCTACACTTTGTGCTTATTGATGAAATTTTTGAAAAATATTGTAGGAACTATACTAGTCCCTCTTTCTTACTATGCTTTCTCTGGTTTCCTTTTTGCAAAATGAATAATATTAAGGTTATATACTATTGTTAATCTTCATCTCAAGGACAGATGGGCCATTTGTATCAAACTGTGTGTTACACCCTCCACACTTCTACAACAGTGTTTATTCCTTATTGGACCATTCATTTATCCGAAACCACATTTGTGGAGAGAAATGTATATATTGATAGGAAAAAGAAGAGAAAATGTAATGATTAGCTTGCAAATGTGCTTTAGACCATAAATTTATTAAGAGCAAAGGATTCAAGTGTGTTTATGTATTTATAACGTGAAAAGCACATACAAGTCTTAAAAAATCAGAAAAATGGTTTATGAATGCCATTTTTCTAATCTGTGTCCAATTCTAGCTATGTTACAGTCTCCAAAACTTTAATTCTTCCCATGTCTTATACTTGGATATGTATCTGCACACGATAATATATTACTTGTTATCATACGTATCAAACTTTCATTTAGATTTTTGAAATCAGATAACTTCTTACATTAATCAAGAAAAAGAAAAGAAAAAAAATAAGAAGTGTTAGATAACCTTGGAATATTGTAATATGAATAAATGTAAGTTCTTGTTGGGGTGTTTTGGATGTTGTACTTTTCAGTTCCTTCGCCTACCGGAAACCATTGCTTGCTCTAGTGTTGGCCTAATCTGAGCATCAGATAGCCAGAGTGTTAGGATCCAACCTCCTTTCTATGTATTAGATGCCCTTTTAATGCTTTCCTAGAGTTCACCTTTAAGTTTTCTAGGATTTAGATGCAATTATTGCGTTACTGCCGTTGCAGGTTTCATTAGGGATTCAATGTAAATGCTAAATTAAGCTCTTTAGAGTGTGAATGATTGTATGAAATAAAAAAGCCTTCTACCCAGTATTGCTTTGCTTTTATGCTTGTTTGTTGATAGACCTTTATAGATATTGTGTCTTGCTTGCATAATAACTCCCCCTCCCCACTAACTTGATACTAAAAGAACTCGTGGTTCGGACCCGCTTGTGGATGCTTTGAATTGTCGGCCTTCATAAGTCCCGACCACTCACACTTTGTCGCCAATAGATGTGAGCGTCCTTGAGATATAAGTTGCCCGCTTGTGTTGCTTTGTGCTCACAAGCCCCATTTCCGCACAAGGCTTGCGCCCTTGCCACCAAAAGGCAAGAGCGCGCCGCACGTTGTGGTGCCCAAAATCCCAGATCGTGATACATAGGCTCTGATTCTTTAGTTATTTCCCTGAACGTAAATGAAGGAACATAGTGCTGTATATTGACTAAACAATGTTTGCAGTCTTATAAAATATAAATAATGATGCTTTTTTGCCAAATATCTAATATAGGGGATGTATTGGTATTGAGTTAGCAGAAATTTTATTCTCTTGATTTTATTTTATGCTTTACAATGTCAGGCACTGATTAATGTTTTAGGTTGTAGATTCCATGGTTGTTGAGAGAGCTCGTGGTGAGTCACAAAGTATCTCAGGTTCTCTGCAGTCATTGTGTTGGGGATCTTCAGCATTTGGGGGAATTGTGAGTGCCTATTTTAGTGGCTCTTTGGTGGATGCTTATGGTGTGAGGTCTGTTCCGATGTTTACATTGTGGTCATAGTTCTTTTGTTGTCTTTTTCTGAGTCAAAATTCCTTACATTTGATTTTCAGATTTGTTTTTGGCGTCACTGCATTGCTTCCTCTAATCACTTCTGCAGTTGCTGTTCTGGTTAGAGAACAGCAGGTACTTGGGCCAGTGTGGGATTATAGTCGTAGTGCTGGAGTACCCAGTTTAAGAGAAAGCTTTCACCTGAGTGTTGTCCAGTTGTGGGATGCTGTCAAGCAACCAAGAGTGTATTATCCTACCTTATTTGTATTTCTTTGGCAGGCAACACCTCAGTCGGATTCTGCTATGTTCTACTTCACGTATGTACTTGTGAATATACAGTAAATCATTTTTATTCTTTCACGTTTGGTAAAAATAGATCCTCATGCTAACACATTAAATTTCATCTGGGCTACATATGCTTGTGTCACCACATTGAAAAATATATCTACACTTCCAGTTATCATATACTGTTGATGACATAGCTGCGATTTAGGACTATCTCATATCTGGCCCTACCCCCCACCCCCACCCCCACCCCCCACATATGACCCAAGTGAAACCACCATATTACTGTACTAAGTTGCATATGATATAAACAGCAACTGCCTATATGAACTTTACTGATTGTTATACATTGTACGTTTCACAAGGATACTGTACAAAATAGATGAATAGCTTTGACAAATTAATGCAAGCCACAGCACAAAGGAGCTTATGGAATGTGATCATATCCAAAAGTCATTCTCCTTCTTCCCTCTCCTCACCCTGTTCTTTATAAGCCTTTCCAATGTATTTACCATTAAGCTTAGTAACTCTGGTTTACAGGTCATCTCTCCTTTTGTAAGAAATCTTCTGTGGAGGTGGCTTTTGGGTTTGCTGTATCATCTGGTTCTAAACATTTTCAACTCTAGGAAAAAAATTACCTAATATATCCTTCATCAAGCAACCTCACAACTGACCAAATTGAGTTGGAATGGAAATAACTTGGAGGAAGAGGATCTCTATCGACGACCACTGGAGATAAATTATTTTGGTGTATGCACTATGCAGTTGACTCCATTTTATTGGAATTAAATACTTAGACATTATTATTGTTATTGTTGAATTAAAGCTGCTTTTTTTCTAGGCTACTCATCAAGTTTAGCGCCTGTTCTATCATTTACCATTAAATCTAGGACCATATCTTTTTCTTATTTTTTTTATTGCTAACTTTTTAGATTACTTCTGTAAATTATTAATAGTTGCAAGTTTTTTGGATTTCAGAACAAATAAACTTGGTTTTACCCCTGAATTTCTTGGGCGGGTGAAGCTTGTAACGTCTGTTGCATCGCTGCTTGGTGTTGGACTCTATAATGGTTTTTTGAAGAAAGTTAAATTGAGGAGTATATTTTTGGCAACAACTATTGCTGGAACTGCTCTAGGAATGACACAGGTTTGTTGATGACATTCATTGTTTTGCTGGTGCTAAAAATACTCAAACAAATAGTTTTGGATTCAATTTTCAGGTTTTCCTTGTAACTGGACTGAATCGCCAGTTAGGTATCAGTGACGAGTGGTTTGCTGTGGGAGATTCCCTAATCCTCACTGTTCTTTCTCAGGTACGTTCACCTAAAGCTGTTTGTTGTTCATGTCTTTCAGTCTTCTGCTGTTTGTTAAAACCTATGACATGGAATTGAGAGTTCAAGTATGTGTTTAGTTTTGAATAATCATTAGTTTTAATAGAGTAGTTCTGATGCCTTGTCAATTTGTTGAAAGTGTGGTGCCGAGTTAAATTATTGCCTCATATTTAGTCTTTTCTGACATTATATAGGAGTTCTAGCTTGAAATAATTTTTCTTATAAGGTCAAGGCCGTTCTGAATCATTTATCCCTGCTGATTGGTTATTGATAATGTTTTTCTCATTTTTTAGATAAGCCCTGTACTGACTATTCTCTCTATTACAGATTTCATTTATGCCTATCCTTGTCTTAGCCGCAAAATTATGTCCGGAAGGAGTTGAAGCTACTCTGTTTGCAACATTGATGTCTATATCAAATGCTGGAAGTGTCTTAGGTGGCTTGATTGGTGCTGGATTGACCCAGGTCTTTGGTGTCACTAAGGACAGATTTGATCATTTGGCTGCCCTCATTATCCTATGCAACCTTAGCTCATTGTTGCCCTTACCACTTCTCAGCTTTCTTCCTGCCGATGATTTTGATGAGAAAACTAATGATGAGAGCGACATTGAAATGAAATCGAATTGAACCCTTAATTAATATATTGTATTCAAGTAGCAATCGCATGCAGAAGTCGTTTGTTACTCACTGAGCCTTAGGCAATAGTGTTTAGCTGCTATATGTTGTGTGACACGAGTTGCACTTCGCCAAGCAGCTGTTGCTTCTTTTCCCAAGTAGCCGTTGCTTCCTGCAGATGACGGAATCATCTCTCCTGCGATGGTCTAACACCTCAGGATTCACCGAAAGAATTCACACAGATAATTGTGATGTGTAGAATATTTCAGTTGACATTAGGATTCTTAATATAGTTCTTCGGATACAATTATCTGTATAAAACAACCGAGACTCTTGATTAAGTTGCTCAAGATCTCTTTGAAGCTATAAGCATATACTAATGGCAGATGATATTGTCCCTTTATTATAATGGGACCTTTCTACACACGGAGAACTGTTTAGGAAAAACATAAATATTGTGAATTTGCAATTATAATTCAAGGATAAAAATTCCTTATATCTTGGTGGGGTATATATTTATTACATTTTTTGTTGATTTAAGAAAAGTTGTTACTGATATAGCGAGCCCTATATTCGATGCATTGTGTGCAATAATGTCAATAGTTTATTTGGAAGCAAAATTTAGGGCATGAGCAATAGAACAAACCTCTAATGGGTTTGTTCACTTGCCACCTTATTATCACACAAACCCCCCATTTAACAAATCTTTTATCAACAATAGATAAACCTATTCAAAGATTTATGTATGGGATCCATTGTCAATACAACTCATCAAAAAAAAAAAAAAAAAAAAACAAAAACAAAGAAGTTAAATGTTTAAAGCGAAAAAAATTAATAATTAAACAAAAAAAAACTAAAAGTGGGCCATGGAAGCCTCCTTGATCTGGTTTGTATATACAAACCTGTTGAAAACAAACCTCTTTAACTCTTTCCACAATAAGAGGTTTGTGGACAAACCTCTAATTTATTTTCACAAACTCTAAACAAACCTCTTATCGTGGATGCCCTTAGTTATCATCAAAATTTTAGTTATCATCAAAAGATGTGATATTTCAGAAATTCTTATATTTGGTGAGCCACACTATTAGTATATAGTTTGACTACTTAACATATAAGACAATATATTTAGTTAATTATGAGGTTACTGCAATGATCAAATAGATTACTCGATGTGGGTTTAGGCCCTATTTGATTCACCTTAATTTTGCTGAACTGAAATTATTTTTACTAAACTGAACTTATTTTTACTGAACTGAAATTATTTTTACTGAACTTAAATTATTTTTACTAATTTTCTATTATAATTCTTCTTTAAGAAAACTGAATTTTACTGAACTGAAATTATTTTTACTGAACTGAAATTAATTTTACTGAACTGAACTTATTTTTACTGAACTGAAATTATTTTTACTTAATATTATTTTTTTAAGGTGAAGAGAACAGGGCCTTACTCGAATAAAAAAATGGAGTTTGGAGTATAAATAATAAAAGGTATTCAATGATGAAACAAACAAATGAGGTTGTTTTTTTTTTTTTTTTTTTTTTTTAACTTGCAATATAAATTATTTTACAAAGAGAGTCAACAAAGAAAATCTCTCCGCCCTACCAAATAATAATGCATCATTAGTAACAAAGGAGAATGGAATTTCAGATCTGTTACAAACATAAAATACCAAATAGCTTTGTTTTAAACCTTAGTTCTAGACATTATTCAAAATTCTTTATTTCTTATCTCACTTCAATAATTCAAGACAAATATTTTTTTAATAATTTGGACTGCCTCAAGGCAAATTTGCGGCTACATAGCTTAACTACCCTCTAATATTCAGTGAACATAATTACATTATGATTAGTTCATAAATTAAATATCATATAAATAAACAAATATACATCTTATTAGAGTCTAGAAGCCTATACTAGAAATCTACATTAAACTATGCGTAGACTGAACGTGAAATGTGAATAATTAATAGTGATAGCCCCAAATATTTGGATGTACCTGAAACTGTTGCACATGCCTAGTCCCCAACATCTCTTAAATTGTTATATACAAGACAAATGTAACAACAATAATTGACAAGTTATATACTAATTGCATGAATTATGTTATCCCAATATATGTTGCTGCTCTTATAAATGAATTCATAGTACCTGAATCATCCTAATTGGATAATTAAAAGGATAAGTTAATCATTCATAAAAGTCTTAGAACCAATTTGATTGGATATAAATGGTTATATTTCACCTAAATTTTCTTGGTACTTGGTTGAAAGGAATCTTTAATGTTTATTTGTATTTTTACAGTTTGGAATTGATAACCCCATTTTAAAGGTAACATTTGATGTAATACTAGTCTTACTACTATGTTAATTGACGAGGAGTATTAGGAAAGGTCAAATTATTGTAGGTGATGATTGGATAATATACGGTATCATTTTTTAGGAATCAACTAAACCATGATTATGTCTTATGGGACTCATTTGAGAATTTTCCTTGAGTTATCCAATTGCTATTTACAATGTAAATAAGTTTTAATAAGCTCATGTAAATTCAAATAAGTGAAAATCACGTTTTTTTTTTTTTTTTTTTTTTTTTTTTTTTTTTTTTGGGTATTTAGAGAGCCCAAGGGTGGGGGTGAGAATCAATCCCATGATCTCATGAAATTGGAGAGAAAACTCTAACCACTTGAGTTATCCCTCACTCTCTGAAAATCAAGTAAATAAAATGCACTCTTACTAATAAGGATCTGGATTAGGACATTAGGTGGCGGTGCATATGCATGTGACAATTGATACAAGATGAAAAACGAATTGTTATTAAGATTAATATAATTGTATTAAAACCTATTGATTAATTCAGTAAGATTGATTGCTGCTGTACAAAAAATTTGCCCTTAATTGGCTTAAGAGGGAGTTAAAATTCTACTATCAAAGGTCAGAATTATATTATCCAAAATTTGGGAAACTAGATTGGATACCAGATTTCTCAGGTTGACTTCATTGCACAACTTAAGAGCTACAATAAAAATTAATTATCCTCACATGAACCAATCCTAGCTCAAGAGTCTATGCTTTAAAGTGTTTTAGGACAAAACTTATATAATGGAGGGAAATAAAAATTGATTTGAACACTAGAAGTAGTTAAAGAACAAAGCTTATGTAATCGTCCAAAACATAGTTTTGATAGACGACTATATTATTTTACTACGTATATAACGAGGCTTAAAATTATCGTGTCATCTCATCAATCTTCCAATACATTAATTCTAAATACGCCTCATCATACAAGCAAGACATCGCCTTTGATTATTTGCTATAAATGTGACCAAAACCAACCTGATAAAGGTGTTATACGTTGATTCTCCTGCTAGTCAATAAACCCTAAAAATGACAGGTCTTTGGCCTCATAGCCACTTGAACTGATGACTCCAACTAAAAATGGACCCTCCCTTTATAAAATTATGTGGTATACCTAAACTCCGTAAAATATGAGGATTGCTACCATAAAATGACAACCTTTGTAATATTATTTGGTACCAAATTATGAAATTATAATATGATAAAAATAATACCACCCCACATGCTATAACCATGGGGTGTTTGTGGACCTTAACATTAAAATGTGAGTTTGCTATATTTTTGGACATAAATGGTAAACCATCACATGGTTCTTGCTTGTTTTCTATCCATTAATCCATTAGATCATAATGTACAAAAGGGGTCCTAGTCTTGGTTATAAATGAAGAAAATGATTTATTTTCATTTGTTTCATTCCATCACTAAAGGACACGACTAGCAACTGCCATAAAAAGACATGTATTAGGTTGTGATTCGGGTGAAAACAATGGGACCTTGCCGAAGGTCCGCTGAAACGGAGAAGACTGGATTCGGTCCAAGTTATGTTGGGCCGAAGGTTTCCTGCACAGTAAACACACGTAAACTAGCCTCGGGGGTGTTGCTGAGGAAGGCCCCTCCGATGCTAAAGTCAGTACAATGTGTAGAAAGTGAACACTATGCAAGAGAATTTGTTGCTTGAGGCTTTATTTGAGTATATGAGAATATATGAATCTATGAATATATCTATGAATGCATGAATATTGATGGCTTTTATACCTCTTCATACATGGAGAAGTTGGGCCTTAGCCCAATTGGCTTGCTTTGAGGGCTGACCTTTGACTTTAGCACAATTGGAGAGTTGAACCTTGACCTTGGGCTTTTAATTGGATCATTTAATGCCTAGGCCCAATTGGACTAAATTGAACCCAAACAACTTGCCCCCCAGACCCGATTTGGAAGGATGACGGGTCGGGTTTGATTTAATTCAGAAAAGGAGGGAAGTAAATGATTTAATTAATCCAAAAATTTGAATTTAAACCGTAATTAATGAGATAACAACGGTTAAGGCGGATGATTGTGGAAGTTGGACGGATAATGGGCAGTTTAATCGCAAGGTCGTGTGTTTAACGGTTACTTAGTGGGGTATTTAAGAGAAATTGAAACGCGGACTCCCCGTATTCCCATTCCTGGAGATATAAACAGAGGCGCGTCATCTCTCCTCACCTATTCACCAACACAAACCCAGAATTCTCGAGAGAAACCAAGAACCCGCATCAAAACTTCGCAAATTCCCCGAGCATTAAGCTTAGAAACTGAGACTTGCCACTACGAACTCGTAAATCGGCAACTTTCGCTTCAGATTAAGGTAAATTCCTTTGATTTCAGTTTATTTTTCTTCGAATTCGAACTCCTTCCCCTTTTTTTTCTTCGACTCTTTTCTTCGAAATAATCTATGGCAAGAGGAGTTAGAGGTAGAGCCCGTGCTCCAAGAAGAGCAAGGCCAATTCCCGATCCTAGGAACAGGATTGGGACCTGGAATGGACAAAGGCCAGAGTCTGACCCTGCTGAAGGGATTAGGGCGACTCCAATTTCCTCGGCTCCTCCTCAGAGAACGGAGGGGCCGAGCGCTTCTGGACGGGACGATGAAGTTCCCGCTGTCCTTTGGGATATCCTCCCCGGGTTTTCAGAGTGGGAGAATGCCGAAGTAGCTTCGGCCATGATAAAGAACCGCCCCTACTCATGGTGGGTGGAGAATGCCGAACAATATCGGTTTGCCGAGCAAATTGAGTTGCATTACGGCATTTTTGAAGCTGATGGGTATTGGTGCCGAATGCCCGCGACATCCGATAAAATCCATCGTCCACCCCCGGGGTATGTGGGGGTGTACACAAGACAACTTCAGTACGGGCTGAGGTTCCCTTTGGACGTATTTGTCCGAGACTTGCTAATCCATTACAATATCTCCCTATGTCAGCTAACTCCTACCAGCATCCGAAGGGTGATGACATACCTATGGGTCTGCAAGTTCTTCAAGTATGTGCCGAATCTGCACTGCTTCAAAAAGCTTCATCGGCTAGTGCCAAATATTCAAAGTGGGCACGGAAGCCATGGTTCTGGGTGGTACCGAATTGAGTCTCGGCCCCAGTACCTGACCATGTGGCC